ATAGTGCTTAGTGTTAGTTCTAGTTTTAGTTTTATGAGGGAAACAAAACTTTGCAGTTGCCGACGACTACAAGTCATTGAACTAAAAATTTCTTGATCATTTTTTGATCTTTATAACACTGTATGTTTTAAAACTAAATTTAGAGATTTAAATATTTAAGCAGTTGCAATTTCAGACACTTGTAAGGTAGCTCGTCTCCTCAATAAACGCCGCGCCGTGCAAATGAAAACATAAATTGTGTAAAATGAGGTTGCGGTGAAAAGATACAACATGAAAAATGTTGAGATAAATTGCGCAGATTGCTTTAAATCCCAAGTATCATTAAGTTGGTCATTGTTAATGCATAAATCACGTTGTATTAGATGACTGATTATGTTGTCACCGATCGTATTTCTTGAGCAAACCGTAAAATAATGAAAATGAAGGAAAATGATGAAATGTTATAAGTGATTTTTAATGAATGTTGTTTTTGTTGGTGCGATAAAATTCTTTCGCTAGCTTTGAAAATGTATAAAACAATGCATATGAAAGAAATAATATTTCGTTCTCGTAATTCTTTTCAACATGTTTTCATATGGTATTTAGTGCGATTCAGTGCGAGTTGCAGCTTTTGCGTTTTTAAAGATGTTAGAACCTCGGCTTTGAGATAACTCTACAGGATTAAATTCTTAATAATAAGCAAGCCTCAATGATCTGTGTTTGCGGTACTATGCACCAAACTGTCACATGATGTACAAATTTTTGCCAGATCTTTTTTGGGTAATTTTTACTCCAATATCGTAGGTTCTGCTTGTCAACATAGTTAGAAATATGAAAATGATATCCCACATTTTAATCTTTCTAGCTATGTTGACACGCAACTGGTAGACCGAAATCTGCAACAACCGAAGAACTCCAGAAAAAACCGAAGAAGTGTTACTGTCTTTTAATGAAGAAACTTCAAGTTCCTTATTAAAAGCGTCTCAGGTACATGAAATTGGTAAAAGTTCAGTCCATAGAATTTTGAAAAGAAATAACTATTTCCGCTGTAAGTTTCACCAAGTTCAGGAATTGAACGAAGATGACTTCGAAAGAAGGTTGGAATTCTGTGAAGTAGTATGTGAAAAATGTGATGTTGACAGAAATTTCTTTTGAATATTGTTTTCTTTGATGAGGTTACTTTCTACTTGAATGGTAAGGTTAATAGGCACAATTGTCGTTATTGGAGTGACAAAAATCCACGTCTAATAAGAGAAGATCATACTCAGAGACCGCAGAAAATTAATGTATGGGCTAGCATTATGGGAGAGAACGTAAGTGGTCCATTTTGTATTAATGGAAATTTGCATGGAGACAGATATCTGCAACCGTTAGAAAATGAAGTGATTCCAAGGGTTTCTGAAAAGTACAGTGTATGCAACAAAACCAGAATCAATAAATAATTTGGAAAATTACATACTAAATAACCACCAATATCACTACTTAGGGATATGCTTCTGATGGTTCAAAATTTCATTTATGAGCGTTTTGGTGATTACGAGACCGAAGAAGGTCGATAATTTGAACATTTGTTATAAAAATTGTAATAAACGTGCAAAAAAACATGAAAACATTTTATTTCCCCATTTGGTAGTCAACCCCTCATAATTCTTGAAAGAATTAAGATATCGGATTTTGGCTTATGGGATTGTATTTCTTTTTTCATTACAATTAAAATAATGTAAAACTCGATAGGGGTTGCTATTTAAAAATGTACGGGTGGTCATCCTCTAAAAAAACTCCAATTTTCATGGAAGTTCTAAACTATCTAATAATGTAGTTTTTATGACTCTTTAGTGATCGCCAAATTTCCGTTCAAAACTTATAGCTCCGTCCCGAGAGTTTTAGGAAGCCCTGTATTTTAAAACTAAACTCAGAGATTTAAATATTTAAGCAGTTGCAATTTCAGACACCTGTAAGGTAGTTCCTCTCTTCAATAAACGCCGCGCCGTGCAAATGAAAACATAAATTGTGTAAAATGAGGTTGCTGTGAAAAGATGTAAGTTGAAAAATGTTGAGATAAATTGCGCAGATTGCTTTAAATCCCAAGTATCATTAAGTTATCATTAAGTTGCGTCCAAATTGCTGCAAGTGAAATCAAAAGTTCTGAATAACTCTTTTCAACAATTTTTCATGTGGGTTTCAGTGCGGGTTTCTGCCTTTGCGTTTTTGAAGATGTTAGAACCTCGGCTTTGAGATAACTTTACAGAAAAACACCACAAGGATTAAATCCAGCAACGGAATATCGCCTCTAAGGGATTCTCTTGAATGTGTTCAAGGATTAGTCTGTCAAAATCTGCGTTGTTGCACAAATGATGTTCTGAGGCAATAAAATTCTTTTTAATAATAAGCAAGGATCAACGATTTGTGTTTGCGGTGCTATGCACCAAACTGTCACATGATGCACAAATTTTTGCCAGATCTTTCAATAGCTAGAAAGTTGAAAATGTGGGATATCAAGTGTTCAAAAAATGTTTCTTTTTGGGTTGTTTCCATTCCAATACAGCCAGTTCTGCTTATTAACATAGCTAGAAAGATATTCATCTTTGTGTTTTATCATTGAAGTAAACAGTGGCGTCCGGAGAAATGGTTCAATAATCTGAACTATTTTTGAACAAGGATTGTCATATACAGATGAAAAGAAAGGTATTGATAATTACGATTACAGAACCGAATGTTTACGAGGGGAGCGTTGGGATGCTTGCAAAACTGAAAGCCTGACTGTTTTAAAGTTTCAAAAGCATGCTCTACGGCCAGACTATATTTACGATTGATATCGCTTTGCGAAAAGATTGCCTAATTTGATACGTCTGCTGGATACATGCTGGATACTGCTACCTTTGTACGCAATCGCGCCATTTTAGTAAAAGTCAGTTTTACAGTTTGTGTCAGGGCACATGCAGACTTATTTTGATACAAACAACCTGAAACTATCCTAAAACAAGATTTGTTAGTAATAAACACAAATGAGAGGTGTGCTATCAGATTGAAGAATTAGTGAATTTTGATAGCTCCTTGTATGCAACAAACTGAGTGTCACCGTGTGAGTTATCTTTATTTTAAACTTTTTTAAGACTTTTTTAATATTTTTTATTTATTTATTCATCCAAAATAAACAGGGTTTCCCCTAATTACAGATTTCGGAATTACCTATACTAAATTAATACATAATAATTAAAAAAAATTGAATTAAATATTAAACTAAATTAAATATTAAAATGAGCCGTACTCGATTTGTAAGCAAGCAATAAAAAAGCAAAAAAAGTAAAAACAAATCCTAAGAGTCGACGTGCTGCGGAAGTTATGGTTTTCACGTGCTCGGCAAAGCATAAATTGTTGGTAAAAACAATACCTAGGTCCCTCTTTCTGACAACTGATTTCAAATTTATATTATTTATTCTGTACACAAATTCTATCGGCTTCCTCCCCAAAAAAATATGTCATTGATTCAGATTTGGCCACGTTAAAGTGAAGCTTGTTCAGCCAACACCAATTACACACATTATTCAGATCAGACTGTAAGGACTGGCAGTCACTTATATCACGAACAGATGTGAATATTTTCAGATCGTCCGCAAAGAGTAAGCATCTAGATGGATTAATTAGCAAAGGTAAATCATTTATGAATAATAAAGGTCTCACATTGCTCTTCCCTGCGGAACCCCTGAATCTATCCCCAACACATCTGAGAGTGTCTTTTTATATGTGACATAGTAATTCCTATTGGATAAGTACGATACAAAGAAATTAAGAGTTGGATAAGAATAAAGCGCGTTTGCGTAGAAGAGTATCGTGATCGACCTTATCAAACGCCTTTGCAAAAGCAGTATATATAACGTCAACTTGACTTTTTGTATCTAATGCTCTGGACACATAGTCATTAATTGAAAGAAAGATACAAGTATAGATTGGTGTCAAGGCAAAAGGAGCTTTAATCAATTAATAAGAGCTTTTATCAGATTACGAATCACGAATCGATGCAATAAGTAAATATTTGATATAGAGAAATTTGTTTAAATATGTTTTGATACCAAATCAATATTTTAAGAATAATTTACTTTTACGTTTACAAACAGTTAAACAGTGAGAGTTTGTGTAATTTGCAAGGGATGAGGTTCAGTTACACGTAATTCGATTAACGTTAACTAGGTGGCAGAGGGCGTCGCCTTCGGCATTGGGATTGGTTTGGAGATCCAAAAACTTTTCCTCTACTGCTAGTAAACTATCGCCGGATAGCTTCGCCCCCCGGATTACGTCCCGTTTCGGAGGGGGCCCTCTCTCAAAGCTTTGTAACGGGGCCCGAAAATCGCCGGCGGCGGCTTCGGCGCGCGCGTTTGTTACTATGTATCAGAGAGGCGGGCGTCTGTTCGTGACACTTTCGTTTTAAAAACGCGCCGCCGGAGGGCGGAGGCCGTAATTGAAAATTTCAGCCGAACTCGCTAATGAAATTATTACACTTTAATTAAAATTTCGTCCGATTCGTTTGGCCTTTGTGATGCGTTTCCGGGGCGGGACCCCCCTTTTTCCCGTTGCCACGCCGCCCCAACGTGAACGTTGTTATTATTACACTGTTTCTGCGCGCTCCGACGATTATTTTGTTTTTTTTTTCCGTTTATTTTTATTTTGACCGCCCCCGTTTTGCCTTCTTTGGCTCTGCGCGCACTTTGACCGGTTATTACTGCGTCGTTTGCTTTTTTCCGAGTGCGCCAAAAGGGATAAATTCACGGAGCCGTGAGCAGGAACGCGACTGGAAAATCGGAAAAAATATCGCACCGTCCGACGATGTCGGATGATGTCGGATGCTCCAGCTCGTTCGTTCTATCCCTTGTTTGTTTGTAAACTCTACTGTTCTTTTTACACCTCCCCCAACAATCGTCGATTACCCGTGTAAAAATCCAATTGAACCATATCCCAATTCTTTGTTTAACTCTCATTCACACCCAAGACGATTTAATTCATATTTACGAGTTAAAAAAACTTACCTTTTTTAGAATGAATATCATCAGGTAATATCGTTGGCGGTGGGCTTAAAGGTTGCAAAGGAAATGGATTACTTCCAGTTGAATACCAAGGTGACGGCCTCCAAGAATTTTGATTCCCGTTGAGTAATCTCAATTTATCATAAACACTATCGTTCGCCGAAGAAACCTGGGAACTTTGCGTTTGCTGTTCCTTCTGAGCAGCCAAGTTCCTCAAAACCCTGTTAATGGACGATACCTGCGAAAACAAGAAAAGTTTTGAAATTAGGGTTAACTTTGTCTCGACTAAAAGGGGAACGTCTCTAAATAGTCAAATTCCGCAGGACGGAGCTTTAAATTTAGCAATTTAAATTTCACTTTTTGGCCACGACAGATTGCTCCCCGGAGAAACCCCGAGACGAACCAACTAAACCCCCACGTGGGGCGCTCAACAAAAATTATGCCGCGTAACGCGAGGGTCGTAGGCAGCAAACCGTAAACGCAATTCTGAAGGGGGTGCATAGATTTGCCGCCTGTTTGGGAAGAAAGACCCCGACGATCCGCAACGGCACATCCTTGACCCAAGGCAAATATTGACGAGAAACGTTGCCTTTTACCATTCTATTTATTCTTGTCATTTTTATTACTTACAAAATTTGTTCAAAAAAACAATTAGAAAATTTTAAATCGATTTTATTAGAAATAGCTTTTAGTTTCATCAGCTTAGAGGTAAAGAACCAAACGACGGCTGCACGTGGTCACCTGACACTTTTTATTAGTTCTGGGCGGTGGTCATCTGATACCATCGGTCTCTTCTACGGTTTCCGATCGGCCGACGCTTTTTATAACAGAAAATGGCGTACACGAACGATCCCTTGAAGTCATTTTGCCCTTTTCAGGATGACACGGGATACCCTTCTTCACTTCGTGGTCGCTTTTAAGGTACCACTTTGACATAAACCGATATTCTTTTTATTATTCAAGTCGAAAAATTTCTTTTTTATATCAATCTCTTATTCTTTAGACTCTTTAGAGTGTATATGGGGTATAAGTTACAAGTACCCACCCTTAATTTTAAACGGTTCTCATGTAACGTAGGTCCTTGTAATCAAAACAAGTGCCACAGGGGGAACAATCGACTTTGAAAAAATAATAAAACGATCGAACGGTGAGAGAGCTATGTCGAAAACAATATGTTGAGGAGGTTGAGTCGTACGCCCAGCTGTTATGGTCTCGGCAATGAGAGAAGTCGAGGCCACCTTACATGGGAATCGGCGGCTTAGTGATCGGTTTTTCGTCGCGACCCAAAACCTAACCTTTCGATGAACGAATATTGAAGTGCTCCAGCTTTTAAACAGCAAAAATAATATAAAAAAAAACGCACAATACCCCCAACAGGGATAGGTCATAATAGGGCCCCGGGGTCGCCCGTCAAAGGGCTCACGCCGAGTCATACAAATGCGACCTGCTCCATTGACTTACCATCGACGTCGTCGTCGTCGTCGTAGTCGGTCGACTCGATGAATTGTTTTTTGTGTTCTGGAGAGATCTCGGGGTCATTAAGAGATTGCACTTAGTTTAAACTATTAATTTCCACATAAAAAATATTTATTTTTGAAGAAAACACTCAAGCAAAAAAATTAAATGATATTCCATGATCTACAGCTTTTATGGATAAGATTTTAAATCAAAATGGAGAATTCAGCAAACTATTCTCTTTCTGACCACAGCTGGTTGCTTTAAATAATATTTCGTGGAAGATTTCCTCCAAAGATGATAATACAAGTTTCCATCATATGATCAGAAAAAGATATCGACTTTCCAAAGTATCACAGTTTTTGAATAACTCATTCCACATCACATTCTCTATGATTGACAAACAGCAGGATTGTTTATAGCTAAAGTGTATCTGCTTTTTACTACGCGTATCAGAAATTTCCCTTTCTCTTTGACACCACGCATTTTTTTAGGGATATCATCAAATTTCGTTCTAATTCTGATCATTTAAGCAAATTTGCAAAATGTAAGGACTAAGAAAGTATATCCGATAATGATAATGATGACCAGAAAATGCTGAACATTTTTAGTCGAAAGATGCAGGAGTTACTTTAGGAGATTGCTAATAATAAAGAAATACAATTTATTCAAGAGGTTTTTTCTGCATTTCCATGCTGAAAAATTAACTCGTTTCAATAACTCAACCTGAAAACAGCCCAACCCAAGTCGACCCGAAAACAACCCAACCTAACCCAAATCAACCAAAATGCTATCCAACCTAACTCCAATTTATCTCAATCCGAAAGTAACCCAATCTGAAAACAGCCCAACCTAACTCAACCCAAAAACAACCCAACCTAAGTCAATCCAAAAGCAACTCAATCTGAAAGCAACCCTACTAAGCTATGCTAGGGCCAGGATTTTCGGACTTCCTTACGGAAGAATCCGGATTATCTATTGAAAATCTCCCTGGCTTCGCCCTTTAGGAACTTGGACAGCTTGAAATTTAATTTAAATGAAATTTAGGCATCGTGTAATTATTTCTCGTTGATTATTTGATATTTACTTACAGCAAACTATTCTCTTTCTGACCACAGCTGCTTGCTTTAAATAATATTTCGTGGAAGATTTCCTCCAAAGTTGATAATACAAGTTTCCATCGTATGATCAGAAAAAGATATCAACTTTCCAAAGTATCACAGTTTTTGAATAACTCATTCCTCATCACATTCTCTATGATTGATAAACAGCAGGATTGTTTATAGCTAATGTTGTCCCGCAATGTCTTTTCTGCTTTTTACTACACGTATCAGAAATTTTCCGTTTCTCTTTGACACCACGCATTTTTTTAGGGATATCATCAAATTTCGTTCTAATTCTGATCATTTAAGCAAATTTGCAAAACGTAAAAATAATGACCAGAAAATGCTGAAAATGTTTAGTCGAAAGATGCAAGAGCTACTTTAGGAGATTGCTAATAATAAAGAAATACAATTTATTCAAGAAGTTTTTTTACATTTCTAAATTAACAAATTTTTTAGTCGTATAATCGACCATATTTTGCAATGAAATCGTAAACGATCCAGAAATTAGAACGACAATCGAAATCAGAATCGGAATCGAAATCAGAATTGAAATTTTGTTCAATAATTTTTCTCTTTGTTAACTTCGTGTAATCACTTCTCATTGATTATCTGCTCGTACTTACGTCTAGATTTTTTAATGTAACGATATTTTAGCATGTGTTAGCCAGATTATTTCAACACACGCAAATTTTATCTTGATAATGATTAATTTACATCTTAATGGGAAAACCTCACCATGTTTAACACTGAAAATGCAAATGTTAGTAGATTATAAATAGTTATAGCCACTTAAATGCTTTGGAGAGCGTGACTCTGTTTAGGAGTCTATTCGTAGTAATAAACACCTAAATTACCAACGATCGGAACACCTTATTGCGACACTCATTTAGTAATTATTTGCTAATACAACACACAGACCTAAAACACACTCAAACCCTAAATTAAATAAGTTGTTAATTAGAATTGCAAATACAGATTTTTCCATAAGCATCATAAGAAGCAAATATCAAAGGGCTACTTTAGCAAAGAGCTTGAAGAAGACCATCTTTATCGATGATCTGTTGTATTTAGAAGACCGTGACATCGATGTCTAAGCAATATCTAAGCGATGTTCTTATTATCTCGCGAAAACGCAAAAAGTGCGTGGTAAGATATTTCAAAGAGCAGAGAATTTCTCCATGTTGAAAAATCAACTCACCTCAAGATTCTGCTAAGAGGTACAATCCTTCCCTCATCAACAGAAATCTTATGAAGCAATGCGTAAAGAAATAATTAAGCAGTAAACAGTCAGTAAACATACAATAATTAGGCAGTGCCCTATTATGCCCACAAAGCACAACCTAGAAGCAAGCCAATCCAACCCAAATGCAATCCAACCTCACTCCAATCCAACTTAACCCGAAAGTAACCCAAACTGAAAACTGCCCTACCCAATTCAACCCGAAAACGATCCAACCTAAGTCAATCCAAAAGCAACTCAACCTGAAACCAACCCAATCCAATCCAAATTAACCAAAATGTAATCCAACCTCACTCCAATCCAACTTAATCCAAAAGCAACTCAACTTGAAAGCAACCCTACTAAGCTATGCTAGGGAATTTCGGACTTTCATATGGTAGGATATAGCTTCAGTAACTGTCCAGAAAAAAACCGTCGGTGATAGTGGTTATCAGTAAATATCAAAGTGAAAATTAAAATTAAAATCCATTTTTACTAGTTGTTAATTTATGAAAAGGTAATTAAATTTAATATTCTCAATTTGTACTTTTGAAACTGGTTTTTATTAATTAAGTCTAACTAGTTTCGGCCCATGGCCATCCTCAGAGACTAATTTTGCAAGAGTTCACAGAAAGTCATATCATTAAATATTAAGTTTACAATGGTGATTATTTAAATAAAATTTTATAAACTTTTAAGACAAAATTACAAGTTAACACGTTAAAATTGAAACCCAACTTTAGAAGAAAAAAGTAAGAAGAAAACGTAACCCAATCTGAAAATAGTCCAACCCAACTCAACCCCTATCTCGATCCAAAAGCAACTCAACCTGTAAGCAACCCAAGCCTATCCGAATCAACCAAAATGGAATGCAATCTCACTCCAATCCAACTTAATCTGAAAGTAACCCAACTTGAAAACAGCCCAACCCAACTCAACCCGAAAACAACCCAACCTAAGTCAACCCAAAAGCAACTCAACCTGAAAGCAACCCTATCTAAGCTATGCTAGGGCCCGGAATTTCGGACTTCCTTATGGAAGCATCCGGATTATCTATTCAAACTTTCCCTTACTTCCCCCTTTAGGAACTTGGGCAGCTTGAAATTTAATTTAATTGAAATTTAGAGCTTCACCAACTGTCAAAAAAAAAGTCGGTGATAGTGGTTATCAGCAAATATCAAAGTGCTATCTTAGCAAAGAACTTGAAGAAGATAGCTATCTTTATCGTTGCTTTTAGAAGTCGTGACATCGACGTTCTTTCAATTGACTCATTTGATACCAGAGGCGAAAAGTACCCAGTAAGATATTTCAAAGATCGTCTCATGATTTTGCTATGAGGTATAATCCGTCCTTCATCAATGAAGCAAACAGTCAGAAAACATACGGTAATTAGGCAGTTCTCTATTTTGCCCACAAAGCTCAACCCAAAAGCAATTCAATTCAACCCAAATCAACCAG